TGTTAGCAGCTATCAAGTAAAGCAGGCGTAATCTCTTTTGGGCACACAAACGCCCCTTGCCTACATCTTCCATTTACATTTGTTCTTTTTCTCTAGTGTTTGGCTTCCTCTAGGCCTACCATCTGTAGTTGATCAGACTACATCATCTCCAGATGTAAGGCTGCTTCTTTTGACTGCCATCTGGGATCATGTTGTTAGTATGTGTGGCCACTTTGTGCTGCAGAAAACTCACATTTAGCAACACTGCCTGGAACTGAACCCACTCTGTCTTGGGAGGAGTTGATGGGAGAAAAATTGTTCACACAAACACCCACACCCCCTTCCCTTTATTTTCCTTCGGCTGTGCTGCTGTCTCAGGCAGCCAGCTATGCAGTCCTGATGTCATTGCAGTGTGCTGCAGTTGAACGTGTAATGCATCAAATCTCTGCAGAATGCACTGATTGGCTGCAGCGCATAGTGCCGTATGTATCAGTATGCTGTGGTCTTTTGCACACACAGATTCCCAGAAGGATTCTTCTCTGCAATAAAGTACAATTTCAAGAAGTGGGGTGCGTGCTGGCTTTGTAATGGCACACTGAAGAAAAGATCCAGATTTAGCTGTTGGTTAGGGGTAGTCTTCTCTTCTTACCAGAGGAGTCAAACTGTTATGATTGACATTGTCTTCCTGTTGTGGTTGTGAGGAAGGCAGCTGGATTTGAGGAAATCCTGTGACTCACATCTCTCGTTTATTTCAGCTTTGTGGCTGCTATGGGAATGAAGAATAGCTGTAATGTTTTGGTGCCTGTTGTTAGCATTCCCTACAGTTTTCAAAAGTTGAATCGAAAGCAAGCAGCAGGTCTGTTGCAAAGGAAACAAGCACACTCAAACAAATGCAACAAATGTTCGGTTGCCAAGGTGGCCTCTATCTGTGTTTTCCCTGTTGACTGCTGATTACTTTAAACAATCCACGTAACTATTTGCTAGAATCCCTTTCCATGATGGACCCTGTTCAATGTGTTTCTGGCCAATCTGGAGTATTCAGGGATTCAGGAATAGTCAATGCCAGAATCTATTGGTATATGAACTGGATAAAGATTGCAGTTATGTCGATCTCCTTTCCAACACAATAGGCTAGGATAGGAGTCTGTGGGTGGGACCGGGCTGCAGCATGCCAGAAACTGGTCCACGTAAACAAGTGAAGCCCATCCATGGGATGCGAAACCACACCCCCTTCAGTCCGTAGAAAAACCTTTCTGTATGGAATCGGTCCCTAGTGCCCCAAAGGTTGGAGACCGCTGGAGATGGGATGATAATAAATAAGAACAGAGAAATAAATTGAAGATTACATAGGATATGTCCTGTGAAAACCGGCTGAAAGAATTTGGGATATTTATTCTGGAGAAAATCAGACTAAAAGGGGGGCCAAATATCAATGTTCATAACCTAAAGGATACATAGAGAAGATAGTAATGTGTTCTGACCCCACCTTCTCCGTACAGGAACGAAAGCCAAAACAGACGTACAAAAGAATGTTTTAATCAGTCCAGNGCGTGGCTTCAGCCTTAACCCAGTCTCGGGGCCAATTGGCTGTGATAATACCATCTCTGGCCCATCTTGCAAACACCTCTTAAAATAACAGTTCGGATAAGACCAACTGTCATTCTAATTTTTTTTAAAGAACCATAATGTTTCCATGCTGATGTGAACCACACTAACATTTTATATCATTGTCTTAAATCTGTCTGACTTGACTTGTCTTCAGTTAGAATCTGCTCCTTATGAAATAATAGTTTTTTTTCTGGTATCATCATTAGTGCCACAGGGAGTCTTTTCTCATGCTTGATCATGATATAATTGAGGCATTTAGTTGTTTTAAAAATAATGTTAGCCACATGTATCCTGAAAAATTTGTGTCCTTATTGAATGACTTAGCTTTAAAATAATAGACAAATTCACAGTCAACAAATTTTTTTTTTTTTGGCAGCTGCTATTATGCCCTAGGATCAAATGCAACTTATCAGTTACCATCAAATATGAAACAGTATAACTGTTGCTGTTAGGTTCCTGTTTTGAATTTCTCATAGACAAAAACTTAGCAAGAGATGCAACATTAGATAGGCATCTGGTCAGTTCCAGCAGATCAAACCTTGTTTTCTTCATACTCTGCTTGAGGTCTTGTTAAACTAGATTACATATGCTTTTATCGCTTCAGTGTAGCAAGAGGTTTGTAAGCTTGCATTAGTTCCTGAGAGGCTCAGGAAATCTTTTCTAATGTCTCCATGGTATTAAAAAATATATAGAGACACCAGAAAGTGAAGCTTCTCAATAATTTGAGAAACTGTTAAGTTTTCCCAAATTATAAGTTTTGTTAGTTTGAATTCCAAAACATACTTTCCAGTGTTCCTAAGATCTTATTTATATGGCGTCTAAAATATACCTCAACTTCCCATTTCTTCTCTTTCTACACTTCTCTTTATCCTAATATTCTCTTTGCTCAGCTAATTGGCCAAAATAGATTCATGGCCATTTGTGTATAAAATTGTAATATAATATTAATAGGTTCCTTTCATGGGATTTTGATTTTAGCTCTTTCTATATGAAAGAATAATATTATAAAAACTAAAATAACTACTTAATTAATGGAGCTTTTCAAATTCAGGTCTGTGAAAAGATTTAATTTCTGTTACTGAAGCTTTGTTAAGCAGAGTAGGTCCTATTTTTTCATAATTGCATACACTTCACTGTCCTTATATTTTGCTCTCTTAATTTGGATTGTATTCTGATTCACTATTAATTAAAGCTTTTCTTAATAGGTTTTTATGAAAAAGAATCAAGAAAAAATGCCACGAGGACATAAAAAACAAGATTTTTTTTATTCTTCACGTGCATTCCCTGGATAGGAAATTTTTTTTAAAAAAATAGCATATTTGTGTTTCTAAAAATCTAAAAAAACTTGGAGTGATGCTGTATCAGTAGCCACCAGATGTCAGTGCAACATATCCTATCTTAAGCTGATTGTTTTTTTCTGATTCTGTTTTGAACAGAATATATTCTGTAACCTACAATTGTGCAGTAACTATGTATTAAAGATTTAAATATATTGATTCATGGCAAGTATCTTAACTATTATTAGAATGTGGTATTAAAGATAGTCACTTAAATTAAATAATTATTAATTCAAAAAGTACTGATACTTCTTTATTTTAAACATTTGACTGATTTTATCTGCGCTTTTATGAGTAATGAAGAAAGTGTTTTGGAGGGAATTTTTCATTTGCTGCAGAATAATATCCTATATTTTATCATCTGCTTTTTGATGCTGGGCAATAGTTTTATAAATATATCCATCTACAATGTTCTGTACCCCCTTTAACATTTTAACATAGCCTGTTTTCCCAAAAATAAGACCTCCCTAGATATTAAGTCCAATCGGGCTTTTGAGCACATGTGCTAAAATAAGCCCTCCCCCAAAAATA